TGCACCTCGATGCAGAGGGGAAGGTGTTGCAAATCCTCCTCGACAATGTTCCTTCGCGGGGCTTCGACACTGTGCTGCGTATTGGGGAGTGGGTAGCCGTTGGATATCCAGAGTGCGACTTTGCCAACATTGTCGAAAAGAGTCACGTTACCAATGAGCCAGCCATCCGAATCATGTATGACTCGGACGATGAGATCTCGGGGCTGCTCTTGAAGGTTGATAACTATTATCCTATGTGAATAGAAAACAGATATGGATGTACATAGATTGTAATTTATTGTCGTATCTTCGACCGACAGCTTGAATCAAATCGCAATGTCGAACGGTTGACGCAGAGTTAGACTTGACTTTTTATCTTACTTTGTGTATGGACCCAGGGTTTTTATTGTTGTTAACCGGTGTTTGTAGGAAGGTAGGTCATGTACCTATTGAAACCTGGGCGCCTGAGGGACACACTACTGAATAGATCTATGAAATTCCATGACCGCACGGTGCGCAGCGAGCAGCACAGCCCCCCCTGGGAGCCCTGCCTCGCGGCCTGATAAGAACGCGTACTCCCTCCTAGTATTGGCAGCACCGATGGCACAGCCAGCCATCGCAGCCCCAATCCATTATATGCATTGCTGTGCCATCTGCGTGGCTCACAGGGATAAATAATAGTCACATCTTGGCAAATGTTCTTTCTTGCCAAGAAGGAACAAACGGAAGAAGGAACATGATAATGGCAAATCTAATGATTGAGTGACGCGCTGCGCGTTTCGCCCCGCCTTTAGGTTAACGTTTTGCGTATTTTCCCCTCGACAATTCCCAAAGTCCCCCTCGCCTTTGCGCTTCCATTTTCCTGTGGATTGACAGTCAGACTAGCAAAGTCTGCGTAGATAACTCGAGTCATGTACGATGCACCAGGCCCTTACGGTGGATACCGGCCCAACTCTCCCGTGGTATGTGTGAAGGTTCCGCAGCATTGTGACAGCCGTCAGTGGAATTGGCTGGCTCGGAAAAGTACTCACGCCATTGTCATTGTTTTTAGCATATGGAGGCAGACTACGCCTCGCACACGTATGGGGATCTGAACCAGCCCTTCAATCATAATCCCGCGGGCGCCCATTATCAGGAGTCAGCCTCTCACGCGTGTGGGGACCTCAGCTCTGCGGGCACCCATCAGCAGGAGTCAGCTTTTCACACATATGGAGACGTTGATCATAGATCAGATCCTAACTCCGTCGGCAGCCATCATCAGGACTTGGCTTCCCACACGTATGGGGACATGGATCATAGTTCAAACTACAGCTCCACTGGCACCCATCAGCAGGCCTCCTCGGAAAGTGTCAAGACACTTGGGGAAGGTGCTTTTCATGGTCCAAAGTCTGGCTCGGCAACTTCAATCCTCACAACCATCCGCGGCATGAGCAGCCCGGGGGGAAAGACCTCGTCGTCCATCAACTATATACCCTTGGAAGACGGCAAAGAGAAAGACCAAGAACGCGGTTTCAGCCATCCGATGGATGTCGTTAGCAAGAAACCGCGGAATCAGCGGACCTGTAGATGCTGCTGTTACAGGCTGCGCTGTCGACCAGCCTGCTGGGGCTCGTGCCTGGCGTTTTTCATTGTACTTCTTGTAGGCCTTGGCGTCGGTGGTTTCTACTTGTTCCCACGCATTCCGGACGTTGACGTGTCAACTCCATACTTTCCGGCACTCTCGGAGGCTGCCGCCTTCAAGACTGATCCAGCTGCCGCGGCATGGACCCCTGGATTGGCACATACGGGAGACATCAGGACTGCTACCGCCACCAACCCGTTCGTTCTCTCGATTGGCGTTGGTGTGAATGTTACTGTCAATTCGGACAATTATGTCGGATACATCGTAAACCGGTTGACAGTGTCTGCACTCTTGAAGGACACCACTGGAAAAGTCATTGATCCGGCGAGTCTCTCCAATCAATTGGATGCATCGTCAGAAGTGAATCGCATTAGGATCATCCCTCGGTCTCAGACCATCATTCGCCTTCCAGTTTCCATCAACTACACAATGGTCAACCGATTGAGCTTGGTCAATGTTCTCAAAGACCCCGTGCTCTCCGTTCTGGCCCAGGCGTGCGGAATTCCGGGCATCCAAGAAAAAGTCCCCGGTACGAGAATCAGGATGGAAGTCAGCACCGTCATTGACCTCCGCGTTATATCATGGACCGGATACAAACCAAAGATTGTAAAGGACGTTGATTTCGCGTGCCCAAGCACAGTAGCTGACGCGCTGGGCCCGCTGTTTGCTGGAGGGGTGGACAACATTGCGGACGCCTTATTGCGCGGCGCCTCTACTCTACCCTCACCATCTGCTGCCTCCGCTGAATCTGCCAGCGATGAACCGTTTGCTGAAGTTGTCGACGATGCCGATGACTGAGGAAACAGGAGTGGCTGTGTGCATATCGCAGGGAATGCACCGTAAATTCATAGGTGTGGGTTGTTGTCCGTCATGGTGTGTATTGTATATGAAGTGTTTCAATTGTAAATAAACATATAAACTGGAATCGAGCAGAGACAGGATTGGTGTCAGGTTGACAAAATGCTGCGTTTAGTGAGCGCTCCACTACCGAGCCATAGTAGCCTTGTTCAATGAATCCAAGGTGGCAACGAGGTAGTTTACCAGCGCAAGATTTTCGGCACGCAGATCTGTGGTAACAATGAAATGTAAGTAAAATGAGGGCATCCGCGTTTGTGACTTTTTAGAAAAGAGTATACGCACTATCAATCTCTGCCTGATACCGATTTATGCTGCTGAGCTCCGCCTGTAATGTATTCGACCCTCCGCCGATGGTGCGACTTCTTCTGAGCAGTGAAGGTGAAGTATGTGGACTCCGCTGCAAGTTCCCGTCGGCATCAGGTTTCATGTTCAAGAGCTCACGCACGCTGCTGGACCGCTTTGGGAAGGTCGGTGAAGATCCACTTTGTGGCCGGCGGAGTGTTTCGTCGTAGTCCACCGTGTTGCCGGTGGGTAGACTGTTGAAAGCCTGACCATCGCCGGTTGTTGATTCAGACAGAGCAGGCGGTGGATTCGCGCGCAACGCCTCGATCTGATCTTGCAATGTCTGGTTCTGATCCGTGAGTTGTTGGATCAGGAGTTCCGTTTCGGTTGCTGTGCATTTGGCCATAGTGAGGGATTCCACGGATGGTTTGGAGCTGAGCGCGCTGATGGAGCGTTGCAGGCGGAGGGTCGGGTGAGATGATGATAGGGCTGGATCTGAAGGATTGGCGGACTGGGCCTGGTGCACGAGTGTGAGCGCCCCATTAGAGGTTGCGCCGTCCGGTATAAGCTGTTCTCATTACCTTCTCCAGCTCCGCTTCGAGTGTTCTGATGATCACGGCTACCGCGCGATTGTCGGCTTCGTGTTTTTGCTCCAACTCGGTCTTCTGATCGCCCAAATCTTTAATCTGCAGGTTCTTCCCTTCCAGCTGCGCTGCATTGCAACAGAGAAACGCGTTAGACATTTGAAAACCCCGAGAGAACGCATCGCAGCGACAGCGCCACGCACCCTTCAAATCCGCAATGACAGCATTCGCAGCAGCATTCTGCCTCGCAAACACCCGCTCCGCATCGGCGCGTTCGTCCTTCACGACCGTAATCGCATGCGTGAGACGGTCAATCTCCGCGTGCAATGCAGCACTGTCCTTCTCAGCCGCACTCTGTTGCCGTTGAAGTTGCTGAAACTGCTCTTTTAGTTGGACGTGCTCGAGGATTTGCGTATCGGCTTCTTCTTGCAGTTTTGTGATTCGCGTTTCGCGCTTCTTGTGTCTCTGAGGCCGTGTGGGTGTTGAGCGAGCGGTGTTCCTCCTATGCGCCGTGTGTCGGAGTTTTGTTTTTTTACCTTTTTCCACACCTCGGTCTCGTCCGTCGCGACCTGCAGCGCCGCTTCTAGCTCGTCGACCTTGGCTTCCAGCTATGCCACACGATCGACGACGGTTACATCAGCTTCGCCCCAATATTACTTGTCCATGTAACAATACGCAAAGGTTTACCATTGCCACGACCTTTGTCTGCCCAGTCCTCGCCTCACTCGCCCGTCCCTCCTCGTCCGGCTCTGTCATGTGGTCATCAGACCGCCGTCCCACTTTTGGCGGCGGTTCTGATCGAGCCGGACTGACCAGCGAGTGCCGTCTATTCGCCTGTCGCGCCTGGAACCTAGGTTTCTTCCAAAAACCCATATGATTTCAGTTCCTATCGCTCCTCTCGCATGAGTATGACATGCGCTTCACACACCTTGTAGGCAGTAGGTGATTGCGTTGGTTCGGCGCCTAGACTAGAATTTGAGTCTCCGTATCCCGTAAACTCGGCGGTATCGGTCATTGTAATGCTATCAGTCGGCGCACATGCGCGTTACGAGATATTTTTGGGGAGGAGCGGAGCGCACCAAGTGATGAGGCTGACGGAGCGCGCCGAAGTTGGGTTTGAGAGAATTTCTACACAGCCTCATTCTGATCTTGATTGTAGGTTGCGAGCAGCATGATGCATACACTGAAGTTGTCGGTGTGCGTATCCGACGTTTATGCAAATCCACCTTTTATTCAGCTCATATCTATGGCTTGGAAAACTCAAAGATGACGGCCGTTATTCTCTATTTCCATCTTTTCATTTGAGCGCGAATAGCTACGTTTTGGCCAATTGAAACGTGGAGATACTTTCAGGACTCGGGGATTCCAAGAAAAATGCAGCTCCGGGGACTACTATGCCCGGCCTAATAGAGCCTTTGATCACTTTGACAATGACAACTAGCCCCCTCTTTCTATCATGCGCTTATCGTTCTTCTTGTGTGAATAATGGGCCGCATGGAACCCACTAGCCGTCCAGTCGCGAAGGGGCCATGGACAGAGAGGTATCATTTTATCTGCAAGCCCAGACATCTGTATCTTTATTGAGCTGGCGGACACGCAGCAGCATATCGCGGGCAGCACATCATTTCAGTCAAAGTAGTGTAATGGCAGGGCATTGCACGCACCACATCACTTCCGCCAAAGTGGTATAGTGGCAGCACATCACGTTGTGGCCGTGAGGACGGCGGTTCGATTCCGCCCTTTGGCATATAAATTATGGTTTTTTTTTTGCCCTTTTCCCAACAGTTCCTTTTGGTCACATTCACTTGTCCAGAATGCATTCTGCTTGTTTCGTGCCTTCGCGCCCCGCCAGCTTGATGAACCACTGTGAACCCCCAAAAAAAGTTAAGATTGAAGTTAACTGTAATACAAATCGCGACGCGTTCTGGGTCCGTGACTGCCAGATCAGGCCGCTATTATTTCCATCTCAGTCAGCTTGCCATATCTAACGCAGATTGAGGTAGACCAATTTATTAAGTAGGAATGCAAACATGTCTATTTCGACCGTATACGGGGGGCAAAAGCCCAATTTTGATCATCGGGTGTGCACGCCCTGCTGAACCTGAAATAGCAGTAACTTTGTATTGGAATTCCTGCCAGCTGCTGTTTGTTTGTCAAGATTTCACGCATGTGTGTCAAAAGCTTTGTTGATAATCGCTTTTCGAGAATGCCCAACCCACCCGCAAGGACCAGGTCGCCTCATGCGCATGGGGCTTGAGCGGTTTCTGCGATGGGACTGATCTGTTCAGAGAGATGGCCGACATCCATTGTGGCGCCTGCGACACAAAAGGATAGCACCGTGCATGGTCAAGGGTTTGCGCAAGGAGGTAAAATGACTATTGACAGGGACCGGTTCACTCGTTCAGCGTCGCCGTCCAGCTTGAGGCTCGGTAGGTTGGTCCCATTTCGAGCGTTTCCGCTTACCGGCGTCAACTGCGGATGTGAAAAAAAAAGATAAATGAACGTGCAAAAATCCTAAATAAATAGCTTGAGAATGGAAAGGAACGGTCATACCTGGTCGACCAGAAGCGCCTGCGGAGCTCATGCTGCTGTTGACGTTGGACACAAACTGGATAGCCGCCTGCTGTGCTTTCTGTATTGCCGCAGCTAGATTTGGGTTTGTCGCACCCTGTACGGCTGGCGGCGGAGGTGGACGGTCGGTTGCTTGTCTGTGTGCTTCAATAATGATGATCCACCACATCAACATGAGCCTGATCAACCAGAAGGAATCGGCCAGTGATCAGACGTACCTATGCGATCAAAGAATGCATCTTCCGAAAATCCTTTTGGATCATAGATATGGCTGGGGAAATTGGACCCCAGCTCGTCGAGACCGAGATATTCGATGAGTTTACTCATGATGGAAGGGTTGCGAAAGGCATGCGTTTGTTCCAGACGGTCATTGAAGCGCATTCCAGCAGCTTTCAGATGTAACCATTTCTCAATCTTTGCCTACAGGTTGGCAAACGGGGAAAAGCAAATCGATAAGCTTGTAGAAACCGAGTTGGGACAATTGTATGGCGCTCCACATGCCTGTATGGCAGGATCCGCATCTCCGGTTGGCTCCGGCGGAATGCCGTAATTATCTTCGCCATCAACAGCTTCCGGTTTCAGCAACCGTTGCAAGAGGCTTTCTGGTTCTTCTTCTGTGGTGCTTTCAGCCGCACCGACTCGGGTCTGTGGTTCAGATGCTACGCTCTGGATAAAGTTGCATCGAGGTCCTCGAGGTTTCCGAGATTCACTAGGTGACGGACACGAAGATTTATAATCCGCCGTCGATGCTGGACTGGTGTCTGTGGAATTGAAGGTCGTCCGACGCCTGACCAGCGCGCTGAGCGGTTGAGACTGCTGACTTGTGACTGTGTAAACAAAAGATTCAGGACGATTTTAGTCCACAATGTCCTGGTGCGTGTCGACTGAGTGCAGACAGATAATATATTGGTCAGAGAACGTGAACCCAGATTGGCGAGCGCTGACACTTTTAAGTAGCATAGCATTGGAACATACCTGCGGAGTAGACATTGTCATACCTAATGGTTGGCCCTGTTAGAACATTTCGCACTTAGAATCATGTTGAGGACCAGGAAACTTCTTTAACGACGTCCGCTTTTCAGTACATGTGGTAAACTCGCCGGGGCAGCTGTAAGTATCGCATCCGAAACCTTTTCTGCTGGAATTTTCTTAGTAATGAGAACGGCCTTCTGCGGTTTGATTGGAAAAAAAAAACACAGCAGGCAAATACCTATATGGGCCGGGTCAATGGTCTCTTCCTGATCCTTATCGGAGTAATCACCGTCCTCGCCGCTACTGTCTCCGTATGCTAGACCCAGGGGATTGCTCATGACTTCCGGGATTCCCGCTGCAATGAATTCGGTACAGAAACCAACGACTGTGAAGCTCAATTCTGCGCAGTTTGGAATAATGAGTCATGTACGCGTATTTGTCCCACTAGGCTCCTTGAGCGCATGCATCAGGACACAAATCGCGAGTAATCAATGATTGTCAGTAATGGGATGATTGTGAATACAATTGCGACGTGGGTGGCAGCACCCATCGCCATGCGTGGTGAGTTTTTTTCGATGTCTGTAAGATGGGCGGCGGCTCCATCATCATCATCATCATCGGCTCCATTGATGTTGCTGGATGGTTCCACAGACACATGGAAAAAAACAATTACTTTTTTCTTTTGTATTTGTACTTGTACGCCCGAGTATCATCACCCGTTGAAGCTTGGGCTGACTTTTCGTACGATCCTCCTCCACCCATAAGTCCCATTCCTTTGTCGCGCGTTGATTGCCTGGGCCCCGTGCGTCGCGCGTTCCTTTGAATCCCACAGGGTCCTCCTGTGCTACTTATGACTATCCCGTTCCTGCCAGGCCCCACTTAATCAAACAGAGGATATATAATAGACACCACTTCTGTTCTGTATTTGATTTGCCTAGAATTTTTGCTGTTTATTCAAAGTCTCGAAAGCATTTTTGTTCTAGTGTGAAAGTCAACATCTACGCGTGAGAATGCATGCATCTTCGGAGCGCCCGCAGGTCATTGTGGTCTTCGACGAGGAGGAAACGGACCCAACTTACTGCCAACAGTCTCGCGGAAACGATGGCAATCTTGCAGGAGAGACAGCTCCTCTCGCGATTCCCGATCGGCAACTCGTTGCGGCCATCGCCGAAACTGTAAAATGCACAGATCTAGTGATTCGAGCCGAGACAGCAGTGGTATCTTCCCACCACAATCACCGACCATTGCTGGACCCCAGGATCGCCGCGATTGTCTCTTCAGTTTCGACTGCATGCAGAATTTCTCTGCGGACAGCTTCCATTGTTGTGGAGGCTGTCTTTGAATCTCTAAAGTTCTCAGCTTCCACGTCTCTGGCCATTACCCGACGCGCTCTGGTGGCGGCAGTTTCATCGGCGAGAACTCTTCATCTAATTGCTATGGGCAAAGGGAAAAGGTAGGAGTAGAATGAGGCCAGGGCTAGTATCAAAGAGCGATCTCCTGGCTGATCATCCTTCGCAGTGATAGCATCTCCTTTTTCAACGTTTTGGATCGATACACATCTGCTGGCGTCTACGTGATTCACAACGTGTTCTCGCTGGCGGAGCTCCTCACTCATACCACTTTCCATTTGGCTTCATCTACCATTCGCTTTTCTTTGAACGTAAGGCGTGAAGAAGCGTGTGCTCTGATGCCATCGCAGCCCGCTCACCACTGTTCGCACTCTCTTCCAGGCTGCGGAAGAATGCGTACAAGTCCTTGATGGTCTATTTGGGGAAACAGAGACATCAAAAGCATTGGCTGCGTTTATCTGTTTGGTGAAGAAAGAGTTGAGTGGTCACGAGGATGATCTGGCGCTTTCCGACAAGGTTGGCCGCATATCCGCGCTCGGACAGGTGACAAAGGCTTTGACTGTGAGTAAATGACTTTTGAAGATGCCTTGATCACGACCTGATTTGTGTGACGTGGGATTTAGGCATATTGTTGTCTTCAATACGTGAACCGAAATCGCTGGCGAAACTCGCTGAAGCTGACGGCCATTTTTGAAGGACATGTGAGGATGGCCGACATTCCAGAAGACACGGCGGCCAAAGCCTACGACCACCAATCCGCAGCAATGCAAATAGACCATCCGTCAGATCTTGCCGAGATGGCATTAGCAGAAATGCACTCATTGGCTGCCGGACAGCCTGACCGGGACACAGCTCCGCCACCGTCGCTGAATCGGACCCGGTTTCTGGGTGCCATGGATCGCCGACGTATGTCAAACCCGGAACGATTCTCAGCTCTCACGCTCCGTGCTTGCGATTTTGAAGCCGCACGCCCTATGGCTCGCGAGGACTCGGGAATAGGGCCAGATTTGCTCGAGAGCCACATTCAACCCCTTCTCCATGATACCCGGGACCGTCACCATCGCGATGGTCGCCACGGTTCGCTCACACCAGATGGACGTCGCCAACGAACGCAATCCGGTCAGTCAAGTCCGTACAAACTCGACCATGCACAGGTCTCGAGCGTTTTGCGAATGCTCGAATCTGTACAAATGACCGGTCGCGTAGCACCCGCAAAGACGAAGCGACCGTCGAAATGGGACAAAAATGTCCCAGTTTCCCGCTCAAACCGTGAAATGACACAAAGCCGTCAACACAATCGGAGCTCTTTCTCCGGCAGATACAAGGAGTTACCAGCATTACCTCGACTTGAGCCAGCAAAGCCTCCGAGGCAGCAACTTTTTGAAAAAATATCTCGTTATGTTCGCTTTGCCAGTGGCGCGTATGGAACCAACTTCCTGAAAATACTGGGGTATGTGGTCAGGAACCTCACTTCGTCGCATCGTTCAATATTATTGACATTTCTTGTTCCCTACCAGAATTGGCAAAGCGAGAGAGTTCCTTATCGAACATTCGGCCGAACACGACCACAATCACCAAAGTTTTGCATTTCATACTGATGTCCCTGTCGAGCACATTCTCACGTCGTCGTTTCGGAACCCCAACGCTCTTCACCCACCTTCCCTCATCGCGCCTGTTCACTACTTGGTTGTGGATGCAAAGACTGAAGCTGTTGTTGTTAGCCTACGGGGAACACTGGGACTGTCAGATCTCATCACGGTACGATTGGCCAAGACACGTTGAAATTGTAGTGGTGGACACCGCTTAGATCGAGCACTGATTGTGTTTCTCACAGGATCTGACAAGTAGCTATTCA